CACACACACACACACACACACACACACACACACACACACACACACACACACACACACACAAACAAAAAAACTCACTTCCCCCTTTTGTTTTTTCGGAGGCCCCGCGCGGCCTCAAATTTTTGTTTTTATTTTTTTGTGGTTTATGACGCAACATCCCACTCGGGCCTAAAACACCCCTCCCCAACTTTTTTTCTTTTTCTTTTCTCGACCCCTTATTTTCAGGGTGCGCCGAAACCAGTGCGAGCGCGTCGTGCACTGTACGCAGTGCGGCGTGTGTGCGCGGTGCAGCCCACATCGATGCGCCGCAAGTATGGTTCATAGCTTTGCCAGCACATAAGCCTGCCTACCAGTCGTGCGCCCAGTTGGTTACTACAGTCTATTACCTCCTCCCTCCTTGTCCCCACAATTACCTACACCACTTCGTTCTGTCTTAAACCGCCGGTACATCCAGGCCTGGCAGCACCAAGCTTTGCCAAACAGCCAGCAGCGCAGTACTTTTCTTTCTTTGGCTGGCGCACCCAGCCATCGTGGTCTGGCAGCCCCGAGCCTCGGAGGTTTTAGGAGTAGGTAATGAAGAAATCCTCCAAGGCTGGGGCCGTGTACGGGCTTTTTAAGGGCGGCCACACTGGACTACGTCCAGGTCTTCATCGGGTGATCTGACCGTCAGAGGCAGAGTGTGAGAATCACTTCGGATATCTGGTATCAGAATTCATGGCTTCAACATGGCCCCCATGTTAGGAGCAGGCGCCACCGATGCTATATTTGTCCTGAGCAAGCATGAAGATGGTCACGAAAATGGACAGATTCAAGTCAGCTTCACGCAAATAATATAGCGCCAGTCCTGCCTGCTCCAGGCACCTCTGGACTGTATCTGCTATGTAGTTCTTCGTGGACAAATCTGGGGAACACCATCAGATGATGACAATGAACTCCTAAGACAGATGTCGGATTGAAGGACCCACACAGATATAGCTGACTGTGGCCTGCCCCTTAAACCACCAGTACATGAGCATTCAGTTTGCGGCAGGGAAAAAAATATGTTTGATTTTTTTTATATATTTTCCATAACACATTCGTTGCGACCTGTGCCGCATCCAGTTCTTTTCAGGAAATTCCGTAGGCTACGAGTTGCATTTTCAGCAAGGCTGCGGCCATGTACCGGCGGTTTAAGGACGGAAATCATTGTGTCAGTGATTCAAATGCACTTTTATACAAGCACATCAATTTCTCGAAGAAAAAAAAAAAATTGTTGCGTCAGTGGTCTGAAAGGACTTCGTAACAGTTTCTGAAAGCCCATCGGTTTCTTGACAAAGGAACTCGGTCGACTTGGTAGGCTTGGCTTGCCAAGTAAGCTGAGGACAGATTGTTACCATCATTTGTCGATATGCAGTCCAATAATACCTTTTTATGGAGAACAGGTGTGTAAGAGAGAGGGAGGGAGGGAGGGAAGAAAGGAGGGAGGAAAGCAGGGAGACTAAGGATGCAATACTGACGTAATTGAGATACTTCAAATTTGACATACTTCACCTCGATTCCAAGGGCTTGACCGAGTGGGCATGCTGAGAAGCTCATCACTTTCCGCAAGTGCTCTCTGTACTCGTCTAGTTTGTCTTCAGACATGCTAGTCATGAATGAGTAGCTGCGCAAAAATGAAAACAGACAAAGCAGGGAGAAGACCACACATAGCCTGAGTGCTTTGCAAAGCCGATGATTATCTGGCTTGAATCTATAATAAGGTCTAGACTCTAGACTCTAAAGTAAGTGTGCACCGCTTCGCCAGTGCCGGTACCCAGGCAGCTTGCAACTGGCTGCGTCTGCTCGGGGGTACAGCCAGTCAAGCACAGCGGGGCGAGGTCCATGCAGGGTGCAGCGCAGTCCCAGCACTCAAAATATTTGAAAACAAAGAACACAAAAAATTTAAAAAAAAAAAACATAAAAAATCTGCAAAACATTAAAAAATCATATGCTGTGTAAAGTTGTAAACTGCAATACAAACTACTTGTGGAACACAGTCTCCCAGAAATCGCTTACTTCAAAATACAATTTATCAATTTCATAATAAAATCTAGAAAACAAGGGTTAATAGATACCCCTTTTCGACCCTGTTTATTATACCCCCCAAAACCCATGGGTGACCTATCACCAAATTGGAATGCAAGGCTGGATTCTGACTGCTCAGGCCATGCACGATCCTGACTGAAGTCACAATTTGTCGGTTTGAACTTAGAATCCTTGCCCAGCTTTTGAACTGCGCAATTTTCCTGGGCAGGCTGGGCACAGCTGGCTGGGCGCCTGCCCACCACCGCAATTAACCGAGTCTCTGTTCTAGGCTACCGGCCGCACGGGCTGGGCCACCTGGGGCAGCCCAGGTGACCCGGGGGCGGGCAAGTGGTCCCGGGCCACTCTGGTAGCCTAGGTTAGAGTAAAATCATTTCTCACCCCCTCGCAAAGTAAAATCATTTCTCACCCCCTCGCAATGACATGTAAGGTTGCCACTCTGCAGCTTTCCCAGTGCGATAACAAGAGATCAGTTAACATGCTGGGCATCGACTTTCCTCTTTTGTAACTTCTATTTCAATACCGAAGGGGGTTTCACCAACAACACACACACACACACACACGCACACAGAGAGAGACAGAGAGAGACAGAGAGAGACAGAGAGAGACAGAGAGAGACAGAGAGAGACAGAGAGAGACAGAGACAGAGAGAGAGAGAGAGA